GAGAGTTCCTTGAAATGACATCCCGCTTGGCTCACCGGCTGCAGCAGTCGAAAATGAAGATGAAGGCGTACTTTGACCCTTCTGATATCGCCTGTGAGAGCTGTTTGTTCCTTCAGTGTCTAATCAAAAATTATTCAGAACATCGTATGCATGGATCAACCTGGTCAAGGCATTGGCCGGTGTGGGTGTATTCGCCCTTCCCATTGCATTTCAACAAGCTGGACTTTGGGTAAGTGAGTTGTAGAGGCATTCTGATATGAGATCTGGCTTGAGACGTTTCCCAGGCCACTTCAAATAGGCTACCTTACCTCTTGGTTCTAGTCCGACCTGACATTCGAGGCTTTGCCATTTTGACGGCTATAAGTAGAGCGAAATTTCCTTTTTCAGGTGGGGACTATACTTACATTTATACTCGGAGTTGCTAATGCTCACTGTATGATAAAGCTAGTCAAATGTTCTCAATATCTCAGTAAAAGGTAAGTGATTCGAAAAAGCTTTTGGTCAAGTCGTTCGACGGCTTTTTGTTGCGCTTTTTCTCCTAGTGTATATCGTTTGGCGCGGTTAGCCCATTTGTGTGCCAAACATTGAAGGGAACAAGGTGCATCAGGTGCATTCCTAGACCCCTTTATAGTGTGTTATCAGCTGGAGAGGCTCTATAATACGATCGTCTAAAAATTCCATCACCTCTGTCAGAGGCTGTTAGAGGATGGAAACCGAGCTGGGCCAGAAAAATCGCGCCAAACGACAGCCTCTCACTTTCGCCTCTTCACTGCACCATATGTGAAGGTTGTGTTGATTTGTGTTCTGTCAGCCCAACGCTTTCCTTCAAGTCAATGGTCATTGGGACTGAGCTGATCGAGAAAGCAAACTGCTGTCAAAATTTAGAGGTCATCAACGATTCCTACAAACATTTATACGCTCATATAAATAAACTCCCGATTGCACCTATATAATATAAAATGAGAAGTCTCGTTTTTTCTCTAACTGACGGGGGAAAAGTAGCGCTGTCTGAATTTAAAGGTGACAGAAGTCGGACGAAAAAACATGAAAATCATTAAAAAACGAATCATCAACTTAAGGAGAGATTCTACTAAGAACAATTCAATGTTTACGATGAAAACTCATTCGCCACAGGCATCTGACGATGAGAGAGAAAAGGACTACTTCATATCGGTGAGAATACTTCACCGTTTCTTCCATCCAATTCTTTATTGTGTACTATTTTTACTTTGAGAAACCTTTTCCTTCCAGAAAGCTATCCAATACGAAAAGGAAGCGCTACATAACGATCTGAATGGGGAAGATGGCCATAAAATCAGGTAAGTGTTGAAAGTGGGGCCCCAGTTGCTGATTTATGTTTGTAAGCATTTTGGTGGTATCAGAAAATTCAGGACAGGTCACTGGGATTGCTATGCTGATGCTGGGAATCAGCGATCCCAGCTAGTCATCTCAAAGACCCTCACTACCCAAAGCTAAAATCAAGAGTTTTGACACGACTGAGAGCTGACCTGCTTGGCGGTCTAGTTCCGATGAAACGCCCGCGATGGCGCTACCCTACCCCCATAGCCCCATAACAGCACCACCCATATCCATACCCGTGGAACAAATGATCTAACGCGACAGAAAAAAAGAAAGGATAAAAAACAAATGAACTTCGTAATCACTATGAGACTATCAGTGATTAAAGAAAATATGATAGGACCAAGAGAGCAATGAGTTTCCTCAGAGGAAGTGGTATAACTAGCCACCGGCTTCGCAACTTGCCGTTTTGAACTCCAAGAGAGCACATTGGTAAGTTTAATCCGTACCGCCTCTGCTTCTGTGTGGTGCAACTAGAGTAGACTCAGAATCAGAATCTATCCATTCCTTCAGCATAGCGCTTTCTTTGAAGTGTCACGTCATATTTTTGTGCCATTCGGGCCTGTGTTTAATGTTCGGAATAGATCTCGCTTCTGCAGTGTGCTTATTAGTAGCAACGTAATCAAGCGGTAGTTAGGATTTTCGAAATTTACTTCTTCACTTGTACTCGGTTGCATAGATAACTGGACTACTGGACATACTTTTGTAGAGAAACGTCACTCGACTATGGCGACATGGCGAAAGAAGCTTTTGTCACTCGGGAATCTTGCTTCCTAAGATGCCTCGGCGTTCCCGCTAAGTAGGTTTGAAGAGTTTTTAGATCATCCAGGAGTTCTTTGATATTTATATTCATTTTGAATTGCTTCTAAATGAAGGGATATTGTGGGGAGCATGTAGGGCTTATAGTCCACCGCCATTATGGCAAAACTGAAAATGCCTAAAAAAATTATCGAAATATGCCAAAATAATTAGGGTGATGGGAGGGGCTCTTCCTAGCATTGAGCGCTAGAGGGCAAAAAAGGAGGGGTACCGCCTTTACGTAGAAACTTATGGATGCAACTTGGGTGTATGTCGTTTGGCGCGATCCCTCCCATCGCGCCGCCAATTCGACGCGGTCTGTGAGTTGGACAATTCGTCCAAACACCTCGAAAAAGCCAAATAAACGAGGTAGACAGGTAGAATATAAGCAGATCCGCAAGTCGGTATCTAATATCAACGGCGTCATCGGTCGAGCTTCTACCAGCTGAAAAGGCAGTGGGTTTCCCGATCACATGGACGAGTTGTCCAGCCTGCAAACCGCGTCGAATGGGCGGCGCGATTGGAGGAATCGCGCCAAACGACCGTCTTCCGTGAAACTTATATAAATTATTATGAGTTCGGCTCTACTTCTACTCTATTCAGTTACCTTCTAATTGTTTAGGTTTGCAGTAAATGTTTGCCTAGTTCTTCTGCAATTAGGCATCTGTAGTGTATTCTATATCTTTGTGTCGGATCATATCAAAGAGGTAAAGCCAAAAAACTTGTTAACCCAAATAACCTAGTACTAATCGTTTATACTTTTAGCTGATCGACTTAATATTCAAAACGGATGTCTCCCTCAAAATTATCTTTTTCGTTATGATTCCGTTCTTCATATTGCTGACCAGTGTTCAAAATCTTTTCCTAATGTCATGCATATCTTTGACTGGGAATGTGCTGATTACGGTTGCTATAGCTATTGTGCTTGTGGTTGGTTATGCCTAAAATTCCAAAGATTTCTTCTTTTCACCACTACCGTACAGAGAAGAAAACATCGATTTCAAAAAGAATATCCAACTCTCCTATTTTCCAGAAGCTAGCCATGATGCCACATATTCCTTTATCGCAATTAGCTGGGGCGACTACGATTTCAGCTGCGGCACGTGCTGCTGGCAGTATAACGTATTCATATGCTGCTCAAGCTGTGGTAAGTGTCTAACTACGCTTTCTGAACAAACTTCGAAGAAGCCCAAAGATCTTCTTAGTTCTCGCAAGCGAATTTCCTTCAAAATCCCAAAAGGTGACTTGGAAGTTGGAGGACAGTCGTGGCCCACTCTCATAAGAAGAAAATGGTCAACAATGAAGTCTTCCTTTAATGAACCATGCACCCAGCCCTCATTCGAAAATGCAAAAATATCCCTTTCCATGTCTGTCCTTGACGGCATTAAGTGGACTAGAGAGAAGTTCCTGCTATCTGAGCTGGACCAAGGGGTTAATAACGTATCCTCGAAGGTGAGGGGCTTGAATCAATTGGCTGCGTTCTGATTTTTGGGTTATTTTGGGAATGGGGCATTAAGTGGATCCAGGGGGCAGTGACCTGATTATTTAGTGATCAGAGCTGATCCTGCATATTTGTTGTCTTTTCCCTAAAGATTTTCTATTTTAGGTGCTTCCTCTTGAAAACAAAATGCGTCACCCGGAGAAAATGCTCGGATTTTTTGGTGTAATCACGACGTCAGTCGCTTTTGTCGGTGTTCTCTATGCAGCTGTGGCAATCCTAGGCTACATCACCTATGGCTCAGATCTTCATGGCAGTATCACACTTAATCTCACCAATAAGCCGTGAGTTTCCAACGAGTACTCGATCGAACGATTCCACATTCCTTTTCCTTGAAACACCGACAATTCGATGTTCTTTTCAAAAAACCTCGTTGACCAAGCAGCACTCCGCTGCCCTAGTCTCAGAGGGAGATCCAAAAATCTTGTTCTGCGGTATGCACCATATCTACACAGAGGGCAGCATGCTGCACATGACTATTAACAAGTTGGGAAGTACGGAAGCTAAAATCAGAACTGAGACTGACAATCATGGGGTAACAGAGCGAGAATTTTGTGTGTAATTACGTGGCCTTGACAAATATGAAGGTTGCGGTGAGTTAATTGATGAAAAGTGGGAAATAAATCGGAGTAACCAGTTAAGCTACAGGATCTTATCAAATCTCCTCCGCTTTCTCCTCCAGTTCTCGTCCTGCTCAGCGCAGTCTCAATAGCGGTAGTCTGCTGGCACCAATCCAAGCCGGGTTGTGGCGTGGGGCACCGTGTTGGCTTGTGACCAGAAGAAGCCCGCTATGACCTGAAGGGCTTGATGAGGGATACCGTGGAACGCGATCCACGAGAATTGCTGTCGACTCTGAAAACGATGACGCTCTCTAGCGGAACCGCTTCCATAATCCAGAAGGAATGCTTGGAAGGGTTCGGCGTCCTGAAGAATGAAGTCGGAAGGTATGGGAACTGAGTAGGTTTGTCACCTAGATGGTTGACTCAGAGAGCGCAGACAGTTTCAATCAGTCTACGACGAGTGGGTAACTAACGATTTGTTGAAATGGATTCTCATTACGACACCAGCTTCAGAAAAGCAGATATTGGGTAAATTGGGCAGCAGTAGATGTCTTGAAGAAGTACACATGTATATTGGGCTCAAGGGAGGTGAGAATGAAGTAACGGGAACAACAGTAACGGGGAACATCGAAATGATGGCCATAGTGGAGGTGGTTCGAATAAGAGACAAATTTATCAGTCAATAAGGGGCGCTAAGTTAGAGGGTAGAAGTAGGAGTAGAGCTTCTTAATGTGGCTCTTTTTTAGGTGATTGCGAATAATCGACAGCAATTGGAAAGCCTCCCATAGGAACCTTTGAAGGAATGACTGGTATAAGGGCAGGACGCCTAATCTCCTGCCTCCTCCGTTATTCGCTAGGATCGCGTAACCTTCCCGAACGTGCGAGAATTTCTTGATGCTGCCACGTCTTCCCAACCGACGGTGGTTAGTCTGACCCATAACCGTAGTGTCCGCCAGTTCGTGAATTAGGAGCGTGCGGATGAGGCGGATATAGCATGGCTGCACCACGCCGTCCTAACCGCACCTCTGTGGCTGGGAGTCGGAACAAGGGGTTGTGGAGAGACCATAGGGAGCGTTTGGGAAATGGAAAGGAACGTGTGAGCCCAAAGACGGATTCGATTGCTTGAAAATGAAGAGAAAACAATGATTTTCATCAGTTAACGTAAAGAACAATGTGATGCGATTGTTGTTACCTTTGAGCGGGAGAGATAAATATAAACTGGTGATGAATTCCCACGATGAGAGCAGATTGAACCCCTCCAGTTCATTGGCCAGCTTGTTGTCGTGGAAATATCTTGGGTGAGATGACCGGTCCTAGAACGGAACAAAATACAGCTGAATGTCCCGTATGAAACGCAACGAGCATTCACGTCACCGTTATCTGACCGACTCAGAATCCATAAAACAATGACAACAAGGTAGCTTTTCGGTAGACTCTTCTGGAAATGGGAAAATAATAGCTGATCAATGAAAGGGTTCCATGAACTTTTCCTGTACTTCCACTTTTGTGGGGCAATTTTTGAACACTAATGTGATACCGAACCTTTGTTTTTCTGAACCTTTCAGCAAAAGCTCATTCAATTTAATACAATACAATTTTCAGACTGGATCTCTCTGTCAAAATCATGCTACTTCTGATGACATATTGCGGTTATCTGATTCAACATTATCCTATTTTCCAAATGATCTGGCCATTGATGAGACCCTGTGCTGACCGAGCACCCAAGTGTTTGTCGTGGACAGCGAACTATACACTACGATACGCCACCGTCATTCTGTCATGTAAGCATTTCTTTTCAATAATGAAAATCGCTCGACGGCAGAATTCATCTCTCACCCCAAAATTTACGGAGCAGTTCATCGGAGTGTATGGACAAGCCGGATTCTATTAATTTCTCGGAGTGGACCCATCACTGTGGACCCATCACGTGGACCCATCACAGTGGGTTATCTGCGATTGAAAGAGACCAGAAAGAAGGGATTCAGTGATTTTGGGTAATGTAAGCTCACCCACCAGATGTTGCCTCTCCAGTCGGAACTAGTCGCAAGGAAGCTCTCTTTTGTTCCTTGGTATCTATCTCCCTAAGAAAGGATGCCGTAACCTGGCCTATGTAGTTGGGTATGCCGATCCAAGAGGGAAGACCAAGCTGAAAGCATGATGCATCCCCAAATAATAAGTTAGTCATCTTCGAAAAGAGTGTTAATCTGGAGTCTTACCATCACGTGTAGTTGTATTTTCTTTTATTTACCTCGATCATTTCTGCTTATTTCACTATTTGTTTATTTGTATAATTCATTTGTTATGGTTTCGACACCATTTTTTAACTTTTCAGTTCTTCTGGCAATCAGTATCCCGAATCTCGAAGAAATCATTCCGATTATCGGCGTCACTACCGGAATGTTGCTGGCGTTCGTATTTCCGGCCGTCATAGAATCAGTCGTCTTCTGGGAACAATGGAGGAAACGTGGCAATTTCATTTTGATTCCCAACATCATACTGAATATTATCTACACTATACTTGGTATACTATTTCTTGTGATTGGAGTACATGCTAACATTGTATCCATGACAACACCAAAGAATGTCTGATTTTAATGGTTTTACAACTCGATATTGAATAAGTTTGTACATGTAATCATTCGAACGGTACAAATTTCTTTGTGATATTTGCTGTAGATTCGAAAACCCTCAAGAATACGGATAAAAATTTTATATTCATCCCGATTATGAGGCCTTCACATTGTTCAGACTGCTTGTAACTGATCAACGAGAAAAGGCCTTCCTTCCAGAAAATCTTGTAGCCGAAGTTTCATGTAGAAATGGAAATTGAAAACAGAGCATCTCATTCAGCTCATTCGGAAAAAGCTCTATTCATTCAGATACCAGCCACGGTCATAATTCCGGAAATGTTTCCCTTGACCCATAGGCCTTTTCATTGATCAAACGATCGACTCCCTCCATCTCGATGAGTTCAAAAAGTTTGGAATGAGTTACTCTACTGGATGATAATCTCCACAAAACCCTTTCATGAAGCTCAAGCTTCTTGTTTCAAGCCCTTTCTGCTCGGAGGATTCTTCTGGAGAACTTCCTTTGTGCTTTTGCGAATACTACGGAGTACAGACCCCTACGATAAGGAGCGTTGTGAACTTAGCAATTTAAGTAGTACATCAGAGCCTTCCATCCCTCCGGGATCGGTGAATTGGTACCAGACTCGTCGGGAGGATAGAAGTACTGATCTGTGCATCGGCTGGCCACGCAAGTCATTGTAAAGCCCTTATACACATTCAATCCGCCACTACGATTCTGAATGGAAGTCGAACGTGGAGGCGCACCCTTCAGACGGAATCGATTAACGCCAAAAAGTTCATCCTTTTACTTCTTATCAATATCTCATCCTTTTACTTTTTATCAATATCTTTATGCACTTAAGTCTGTCATGAAGTGAGCACTGCTCTTTGATGGTCCTTGTGCTAACGATAGGCTCATCATTTATCAAGTCCCATGCGATTCGAAATGAGAAGTCGATTTACCTCGATCTCATCCCATCAGCGTGAAGAATGTATCTGAATGTTTTCTTTAGCGTCGAGGATCACATCAAGATTTTCTTACTAAACACTTCTCCCTTCTATACCCCNCCCCCCCCCCCCTCGACAGTGATTTGCCTCTGTCAAAGCCTAACTGATATCCCTGGCTACGGATAGTAATTCATGGCCAGTGCGGAGGAATGGAACGTGCTACTGGAACGTAAGGCTTCCTAAAGACCCGTCGTACGAGTACGTTCGAGCGTCGTCTAGTGCCACAACGGTGCCGTCGTATTCTGGTACGCCGGTATTGTTCGTCGCCGCATCCGTTTCTGATTCAACGTCGATGGCATTGTTCGTCACGTACTACCTACGATCTACGTCTATAAATAGCCTCATGTACGTCATGTCCACTACTCGAGCGTTCATCAATTCATTCTTTCTCATACCATACGGAAGGATGATGGCTATGGTACGTGCTGCGGCCATCCTAATGTTGGCCATCTATTCTTCTGGTCAGTCCCATTTTCGTTTGATTTTTCTGAATTTCATTTTTATTTGAAAATTATTCTACCGTCAAGGATGGATTACTGTCTTCTGTAGGATGTTTGTATTCTGGCCCTGTGATAAATCTTCCAAAAAAAAACCAATCAGCTTTTAACTTTGGCTTTTGCTTTATTTTCCAGCTGCTGAAACTTCTGCGATATCTGTTTTCCTCTGTTCCCATCGCTTACCCCATGTCCACTGTTTCTTCATTAGGATCAAATCTGTCTTGGAGTACATCGAAATCATTATGTTATTCACCATTCTCTTCCTTCAAGCTTATCGCATAGGGCAAAAGGCAACCAGGAAGGGATCCCGTACTTTCCAGGGATTCTATCCTCTACCACCCCCAGCTTGTTATCTGCCTTAAACTCTGTTTTAGTAGTCCAGTGGTTAATCTTCTCCGCTTCTTTTTAATTCATAGGCTTCATTTCATTCACGTCACATTTGCCAACGATCAGCTTCATTTCCCTAAACAGGGCGATGCGAAGCGAACTGCAGATACTTCAGGCACGATATTTTGCCTCGACTACTGATGCCTTTCGCTACCCATTTTGCCCTCTCAAGCCCCGAATACGACTGGCAAACTGTTTCACCCTAGTTTCATACTAAAATAGTAGACTGATTCATGATGAATTTCTAATCTTATTTAATGCCAAAGTGTGATTGAACTAAGGTAATGACAAGTGTTCAGTGGCCGCAGGTGGAACGTTATATCCGCCTCCATCATCGGGTTATGCAGAGATTCCTCTTCCACAGCTACCACCATATGGACCGGTATCGTACGTACCCGTGAGGAGGAATCCGTTCTTGGGAGCACAGTTTATGAAGCCGATCGACGTTCCAATAGCGGAGGGTGTAAGTCATTAACATTTTCAAAAGCCGACTTTTGACCGAAATTTTAAAATCCAAAATGGAAGTATTCGTGCAAAGTTCAACAACAGTGATGTTTTTCCACCAGTTTCTTTCGAATTAATGGAAAAGTTATTCGGAACAATTATCCAAAATAAGTAGAAAAAAATCACTCAAACTGACCAGTTCCGCGACGCGACCGCGCGCGACACTACGCCACGCCTATTTTTAATGAAAAATGCGCCTCGATAACGTTGAAGAGGAACGTTTGTTTCAGAGTGTGAAATGCCGGAGATGTAACTGCTGCTCTTTGTTGATGGGTGTGAGCACCATTGGCGGTGGATATTCACAAGTTGGTACCATCGGTTCGCTTGGTTCACTTGGCTCAGTTAGGCCCGTGATTTCCGGTGGCCCCGGCGGCAAACAGAGTGAGCTTTTTATATAAATTGACGAGTTTATACGAATGAAAACTGCAATTTCTGAAGCGATTGCTCTAGTAACCAGTGTCTGCATAAAAACAAGCACTGCCTGGGTTATTTCATACTAGGTGGGCTACGCACGCTAATGCGCGCACCACATGCCCACTACCGCTTACCTACGACTTGTTAGAGGATCAATATGAACAGTATCGGTTCACTTCCCATTTGATAACTGTTTCCCCACCACGCTCACTTGACATTCGCACTCTTCGTTGTGCCTACGTGAGGAAGGACGCACAAACGGGCATACAAACAGACACACAAAATTACCGGTCTATATATAGAGACAGTCGGACGCCCGGCCTACGCACGGCCCCCCTCCTTTTTATGATAGAGTTGTGATGAACGGCAAACAGCACACTCCTTTGCCGAAAACACTGAATGATGCTTTTCGGAACATGAAGCTCGATAGAGGAACAATAGGGCATGCAAACGATACTCAAAATGTGCTGATGCCTATGCCTTTGATTAGAATCTGTCTGTCTTGATCTGTCGCTGTTGACGTAAAAATAGTGACCCATTGAAGATTTAAGTGGTAGGCACTCAATGCCTTGAATGGTACTCACAAATGTTGTAGAGTCATAATAACACCGTTATCAAATGTTTTTATGAATGCAGCTCCTTTGCTTTATACATCATTAAATAAGAATCCGGGATTGTTAGCGGTCGGATAAGTTTTGCCATGAATGATATCAAAGCAGAGAGAAGCCGTGATCCTTCACTGAATCGCAAACTTCGCTGGGTAGCGGTCGTAAGCAAG